CTATTGAACTTTTAAATAATTGAAGTGAGCAATGATTCAAGGAGTATGACTTGCTTAGGCAGGATGTACTCCGGAGTCTGCCTTGCCAGTATTTTTTGAGTTCGGAAATTCTGTTTGAGCAGATTTTTTCACCTCTTGGGAATTATTAAGAAAATTCCCACGAGGAAATAAAATAGCGACTCGGGACTGGGTTTGCCGATTGAAACAAAACCAATTTTTCGCCATGTAATTAGAAACATCTTGCCGTTGAGAGGTGGTATACAGTACTTATATTTCTCTGTTCCTGCTCGATGAAAGAAAGCAGAAAGTCTAAAAAATCCATAAGGCTTACAAAATTTCTCATGAACTCCATGTGTTTTTTTTTTGGACAATTAATTGCGAAGTTTTACCGGATCGAAGAGGCAGTTGTGGCGATCAAATACTCAATGCATGATCAATCACAAAGTAAAATAATTGAATTGGAAGTCCCGCATCCGTGAAGTTGCAATTCCGAGATAAGTTACGGTATTTCGCGTGATGCATTTCTGCTTTTTCCCCACTAAATCAAAATATATTACAATTTTTTGCGCCAAAATGCCACTGAAAGTCGAATGCAATTTTGTTATCGTGTGTGCATTAATTAGCATCACTACTCCGGGATATTTGGGTTTACTGGACTGTAACAGAGATTTCTACAATTCTTTCTAAGGGTTGCCTCCAGATCTTCCAAGGCAATTCCGCCGTTTTCATGAACAGCAGCCACTTTGGCGGCTGTGAAGGCGGCTGTTCATGAAAATGGCAGAAGTACCTTGGAAGACAAAAAGGCAACCCATGGAATTAATGCCATGTTGAGTTCGAGAATTCTGAGGAGAAAGCTGGGCTACAACCAAAAAAAGCTGCAGGAAGGGCGCCTCATCTTTTGAGTGGAGAGCAAAACTCTGCTAGGGTGAATGTTGCAAAACATTAAAACAAATTGTCAAGCAGCTGATTTTTTTGGGGCCGAAGAATATGTTTTCCCTAAAGAATAAATATTTTTCAGCTCAATTGTATAACATATTTTGAATGAATGCATGAACTTCTGTCAAGACCCTCGCATATAGTGAATTATATTTTATAGACTGGATTGTGCTGAATGAATGTGTGGGAGGATGTGGGACACCTTTGAGAACCTTTTCAACGCTGACAAGTGGCCAATGAAGCTGGTATAGCAATCGATCAATTAATCGAGTAGCACTAGATGTCGCTGTTGCTGGGTCATTTTCAGTTCAGAAAATAATAGTAAATAATGTAGTATTTTCTGAAAGAAATACTGTCGAACCCCTGGTTTGCCCATATAGTGCAGAAAATATATATATGACTCATTCATCCCACTTTGCTTAGCCTGAGCCCTCGAGCAACGCCCGAGCGAGGTTTGACTCGAGTGAGAACTCCGGGTGTCCTCCCGCGGGGGTTTTGGGAAGGGCTTCGGATCCGCAGACGATGTGGTGCCCATCTAACGGGTCCTAGAGCTTCCACACAAATCTCACTCGCCCTCTTCTTGAGCGCTACTCATTGCATTTCTGATATTGATCTGAATGCGAGCCTATCTCTAATCGATTTGTTTTTTCCCTTATTATCCTTTACGAAAGTCGTGGAATTTTCCTATTCCCCTGCGCAAAACGTTGTCTCCAGAGACTACGCAGCCTGCAGATGGAATCAATTTTTCTAGATCTAATACGTGTGCCCAGAATGTATTCGGCTTTTGATTAAAAACACGGAATTTCCTTTGTAGGCTCAAGGATTTTTTGCAGAAAATTTATGAACTCTTCGCGACCAAGATTATGCATGAAAATGTATTCAGGTGGACTCTTTACGACGGAAATCAAGGGAAAATAAAAAATAAACGTCGTAGAAATAATTTATTCACGGATAAGTCTATGACATGGGGAGAGAACCCCATGGCACCAACAAATTCTTTATACGGAGAAAATCGTTTTAAAGAGAGTCCAATTGTATTTATTTTCCTTTAGGGCACAATAGGGGTCATAAAAAATTTCAAATAACCCAACGAATTACCGAAAAAAACCAGAAATGAGCCAAACGCAGCTTAAGAAGAAATACCCCGACACGTGATAACGGAATGGAAAGCAAAGAAAGGGATAGTTCCGGGGATTCACAATTTTGAGAAATTTTTATATTAATCGAAAAGGTACTGCAAATACACACCGTGTAGATGAACGAAGTTTTTTTCTTCTTCTTCCTCCCTCGAGGTAAGTATTGTAAAACGTGCGCAGCGTAGTATTAAAACCACCGGAAGGTCGATTTTCCGTGTAATCATGTGAAATTGGAAACCCGGATTAGTTTAAAATTCCAAGTTTAATTCAAAGGAAATGAGAAGAGATCTGGGTCGCGTTTTGAATCCCAAACTTATCGAGTATTCATGAAATTCCGCGGATTTCGGGGCGGGGGCGATTGTTCCCAGGTAGAAAATTGCATTTTCCGAGAGATTCGGAAGAAAGCTAGTTCAGGATACCCGCTTCGGAAGTGGGCTGCGTTTGAAAAATGCGCCTCGTGATGATCCGGGGAGCAATGGCTTTTGGATTGCTTCATTATTTCCTGTGGGTCCCCGGAAGCGGCGTTGGATCGATGATTCATCCCAGGGGCAAATTCACTTTAACTGGTTATCAGGGAGCCTGGTGAAGCCCGACTTCGCTGGCGGAGAGAGCATCAACATTCCTCGTCCAGCCCGACTGGCATGAATATTCAATCCGCCTTTCCTCTGCTGTGTGTGCTAGTGACCGGGACTGGAGTGAAGGTTTTATTTTTCCTTTTTCTTTTTTGTTTCCCCCCCCCTTGCGGAGTCCACAGTGGTGGTGGTGCTGTTCCTCCGCACGAGCGAATCTGTGGTCGCGATTCCACCCTTTGTGATTGCGGTGCCTCGGATTCGCATGCCCGTCCTGTTGCATACCGGGGGTCGCGGGTACCAAGTCCTGGAGTTCCCCTGCCCCGCCGCTCCGCAGTCGACTCCCGGGTGTCGCGTTGACTGCGCATGCGTAGTTCTGCGGAATATAATCCAAAGCACACAAATATATAACAAATACCCTATATTCTCCTGTAAACACTCCTGAGCTGGTAAAAAAAATTACGCCCCTCACCCAGCATTTACTGTATTTACCTGAGTACCACAAGCATTTTTTTAAGACATGCACCTAAGCAGTGAAAAATTATCCTGACGAAAACGGACCCCTTGCCTTAAACGCAATCCCACATTTTCTATTCAAATATGCCATAAATGTTAATTTTATAAAAATTTCAAGTTAGTTTAAGAAAATGAATATGGATTACAACTGTCAATTAAACAAAGGTTATTGTGACTGAAGGGAAATTTCATTACCTTTATCAAATGGAAATTATTCGTGTTTATGATTTATTATTCTAAATGAGCTTTGACTCATGAAAATCAATGAAATGATCGCACCCTGTTGACGATTGCTTGCTGGAGTTTTCTTTAAATTTCCGATATGATGCACATCAACATTTCTAAAAAATTTCACCCACATCAGAAATTCAATTTAAGCTATGACGTTTGTATTTTTTTATTTTTGGCTGACGATTGAAGAAGTAGGAAAATATTGAAGGGGAAGCAATCATGCATGCAAGTAAAATACTTGTTTCGTGGTGAAATTCTGGAAGCTAGAATTTTTCCCTGTTGAGTAATTGAAAGTAAAGAAATTAAAATTTTCGTGTACCACCTGCTTGCGGGCTGCAAAAACGTTAGTCAAGCTAATCTCGGTTCCTAGTGTGTCCAGTGCAGCGATTTCGATTTCCTGGAAAAAATTTTCGTGCTCCATAATTGCATTGGTGGGGGAATTTTGATATTTTCCAGCTTTTGAAACATGTTTATGAACGTATTTTCACAATTTCCTTCGCGTGCAAAATTATCCAAAGAATATAATCTTTTCCTGATTTCACGTCATCCAAAAAAACAAAGAGAAAGATGAAGTTTCTAGTGTCGCGATCGCAAACAGAACATGGTGGGACTTCTCTGCATTTTTGATGTGAAAAAAAAGAATCTGGAATTTGCAGATTGTTGCCCAGAGACTGATACTGTGCAATTTTTTTTTTCATGCATGCCGGAAATAGGGCGTGGTGAGCTGGGAGATGATGACGAGACGATGTCCGGATGCGTGACGGAGTAGCAGCGAGCCCTGGGTTGCAGTAGTTGAAAAGATGCGGGCGCGATGGGAGACATGAAGGCACCCTGGGTGTTGCTGGCGCTGGTGGCGCTTCTGGGCGCCCAGGCTGCGGGCATGTGCCAGTGCGGATCAACATTTCTAAAAAATTTCACCCACATCAGAAATTCAATTTAAGCTATGACGTTTGTATTTTTTTTTTTTTGGCTGACGATTCAAGAAGTAGGAAAATATTTAAGGGGAAGAAATCATGCATGCAAGTAAAATACTTGTTTCGTGGTAATTTTCTGGAAGCTAGAATTTTTCCCTGTTGAGTAATTGAAAGTAAAGAAATTAAAAATTTCGTGTACCACCTGCTTGCGGGCTGCAAAAACGTTAGTCAAGCTAATCTCGGTTTCTAGTGTGTTCAGTGCAGCGATTTCGATTTCCTGGAACATTTTTTTGTGCTCCATAATTGCATTGGTGGGGCAATTTTGATATTTTCCAGCTTTTGAAACATGTTTATGAACGTATTTTCACAATTTCCTTCGCGTGCAAAATTATCCAAAGAATATGATCTTTTCCTGATTTCACGTCATCCAAAAACAAAGAGAACGATGAAGTTTCTAGTGTCGCGATCGCAAACAGAACATGGTGGGACTTCTCTGCATTTTTGATGTGAAAAAAAATGAATCTGGAATTTGCAGATTGTTGCCCAGAGACTGATACTGTGCAATTTTTTTTTCATGCATGCCGGAAATAGGGCGTGGTGAGCTGGGAGATGATGACGAGACGATGTCCGGATGCGTGACGGAGCAGCAGCGAGCCCTGGGTTGCAGTAGTTGAAAAGATGCGGGCGCGATGGGAGACATGAAGGCACCCTGGGTGTTGCTGGCGCTGGTGGCGCTTCTGGGCGCCCAGGCTGCGGGCATGTGCCAGTGCGGCATCTTCGTGCTCTGGGAGAACAACCGGGTGGGCGAAGAGATCCTCCTGGGGGATCCCATGAGTGGCCGCTGCCGGTCTACTCAGGCCACCAACGGCCGCCTCGAAGGCCGCTGCAAGGCCTACTGTTCCACCAGGGTGTGCAAAAATTATTTCTCTTTTATCCTTGGTCTCATTTCTTGGAAAATCACAGTTGAAATAAAAACCGCTCTTTTCGAAAATGCGTGTGTGCCAGAAACCAACCAAGCAATCAAAAACCGTGCCAGCTTAGACCGGAAAAGAAAATTACGCACGTTTCTGCGCTGGATCGGCCATTTAAAAAATTAATCTTGAATTTGAGAACATTAGAATAAAGGCGCCGCTTGAAATTCTGATGCTTCTAAATTAATAATAATCTAGCATTAAAAGTATCGCTTTTTGAATCCCCTTTCTGGCTTAAATTAAAAAAGAAAACAGATTGAGCTGATTTCCAATTTCGAATCAAAACTCATGCAACGGATTTAACAATTTTTCAACTTTACCAAACAGAAAAAGAGGCCAGATTCGGGGAATAACGAGTATTTCGAAGCAATTTGTTCACGTTTCTTCTGAAGACGATCCAAGTTCATCAATTTCTACTGCAAAAATAGTTCGCCCATTAAAAATATTCTGCCCCCGCGGGATGAGGCGGTTCACGGTGCTTTTTCGGCTTGAAAATAGGATGAAATTGATGCCTAAATGGGAACATTTAATTAAATAGCTCCAAGATCCATTTCTCCTCATCAGCATTCTTGTGACTTTTCTTGGTTTTGTGCAGTTGAAATATGTTAGAGCGTAAAATTGAAGATCCAGCGGGAGAAATTGTATTCCCGTTCTGTCTTCCGAAAGGCTTGAAAAAGTTCGTAAATATTTTCTTCAATATGAATACCTTGTTTTAACAATACTTTCATTTGATCAAACGCGCGCTGCGGGATCATGTGAGTGAGGAAGTGTTTTTGTTTTATAAAACACTTCATTTTTCATTGGTAGACCAAACTTTATGAACCGGAGTACTTTTTCAAAAATGATCTATCTGGCAGATTAAATATCAAAATAAATTAGTTTTACGGGTCAATTGGAATTAAATATAAAAATTCAGCTATCGTTCTCGCAAAGCCAAAGTTGTGTCAATTGTTTTCAAAAATTGACAGAACTAGCCCAGGAACGTGTTATTATTCTTGTGCAATTATTCTCGATAATTTTATTGAATTTTAACGTAAGAATATACGGCACCACGTCGACTAATTTTAAAATCAAATATTGTCATCTTTGAAGTCTGTTCTAGAATGGCTCAAGATGATCACGTTTTTCAAAGACCAATCTTCTGCATTCTGTCGAAACAAAGAATCCCGGCGGTGATTTTTTTTTGTTGCGAAAAATGTTTGCGTGCAGTCGGAATTATTGACAAGCGGTGGGAACTTGGCTGTGATGGGAACCTTTCTGAGCATGGCGACCAAGTTCTATGCGTGCCAGATGCTGCATTCGTTCCACCAGGACCCGAACGGGCACCACTTACACCTGGGTCAGCCCCGAGTGAACGCGTTTTGGGTCGGCAGTTTTTATCGGTATTGCCAACATGACTGGAAATTCGCAGGCCGAGAATCCATCCGCCAAGTCTGCTGCGAACGCGGCGACTTCATCTTGTGAGTGTCTGCTGTTTACAAATTATTTTATCATCCGAGTATTTAGTGCAGCGAGGCCCCGAGATGCGGACGTTATTGGTACTTGGACCTTGCCTCGATGTTGGAGTGTCTCTTAGTCGAATCCCGTTTTCCCCTAGACTTTAATTGCAACATATTTAATTGGTTCTCCTGTTCATCAAAAATTATGAATGAAGTCCCCCAAAAATTTAATAAAAATGTTTTCCTCAATGGCAAGATGAGTAAATAACTGTGCAGAAGAAATCCACACAGAATCAGATTTTTTGGGCATCAGAAGCAGTTCGAAAGGCGAAGATCAAAACCAAGACTAGCTATAATGTGTACATATGCTGAAAAAAAAAAACTCTGAAAAAAAACCACAAAATTAATCAGTTTTTGATTTTGTATTAGAGTGATCTAATAACCAAAATGATTTGTATTCTTGAAATGTAAATAGCTTGATTTTTTCAAGAAGCATCAAAATGTAGAAAAATTAATTTTTTAAATGATCAGAATTAAAAAATGCTGAAAACTTAATCAAATTTCCAACATTTATAGGGTTCTCCTGTTCATCAATAGTTAGGAAGAAAATCCCCAAATATGTCGATAAAAATATTTTTCTCAACTTGAAGATGCAGAAACTAGCATCAAAAAACCACACAGAATCTGATCTTTTGGTATCAGAATGAGCTCAAGAAACAAAGAACAAGAATAAGAGTCACTATACACTGTGCACACATGATGGAATGGATGTCGTGGAAAAAACTGGGGAATGCATTTTATGCTCGGAGTAGATTTTTAGTTTAATTTCATGCTATAGCATTTGGGCGCACACCTTACTCAATTGTGCTCGGTACTCGAGTACAGTACTGGCTGACCACGAAAAAAAGTTGATTTTCATAATATCATAAACTTTTACGGAGGACCCAATCGGTAATTTTTTGCTTTTCTGCAACAATGTTCATGTTTCTGAAAGGCAGAACTCTTCAGTAGCAGATGGAACTTTGGGGTGATTCAGAGTACTTGAAAGTATGTGCCGTATTGACTTGAGTACCACGTGCACCTTTTTTCCCAAATTTCAGAAGAAAAAAGGGGTGCGCGTCATAAGCAGGTACAACATTCTCAAGAAGTTTTAGGAAGTTATGTGTGCATTATACTTGATTATAATGGAGAAATTTGGAACAAATATAAGAAGAAAACATTTTTGTACTGAAAAAGTTGAAAATTGATTAGATTTTTTGTTCAATTCATGCCTAAAGTCAAAATTTTTGTTTTTATTTTTGAAATGTTATGGTTAGTAAAGTGGATAATCCCCTACACTACAGGTTTTAGATTCACTAAAAATTGGGGTGCGTGTCTTACTTGGGGATAAGATTGTTGCAAAATTTTCAACTGAAAAACACCTGTGCACGCCTTACTCGAGGGTGCATGGTACTCAAGTAAATATGGTATATGACTATCATAGTGAAATCTTAAGCGCACTAAGAATGATTTGTCTATGTCCCAAAAATTATCCAAAAATTATAATTTGTCAAGCATTGACTTTTTACGCATCAATGCTGCTGCAGAGGAAGTGAGGGGTGTACCATCACGCCTAAAATGGTTTCTTGGTTCCCTGATCAAATAAGGTGTCCAACGGGAGTCCGCAATGACAATCCGCCGGATTTCAAGTTGGCGGATCCACCGAAGACTTCAGCGCCGGAAGTGCGTACAGTGCCACCCACTTCCACGGAGCTGCCGGCGGCGCCAGCCAACGCCATGACTGCGCCACTCGTGGCACCACCGACCCTTCAAGGAACTAGCATTCAGTCTCCTAGTCAGCAACCCATGCGCTTATTCTCGTCAGTCCAGCAGCAGCTGCGTCTACAGCAGCCAAATGTGCCAGTGCAGCAGCAGCAGCAGCAGCAACTGATTGTGCCAGTGCAGCAGCAGCAGCAGTTGCTGTTGCAGCTGCCGGATTCACCATCCCGTCCGCAGCAGCAGAGCCCTGTTGCAGCTTCTCCTATCCCCGTACCAGTGTCATTGTCTGTTGGTGCCAACTGCACGCATGCCCAGTGTAACCAGTACACGCATTACCCGCCGTTCACCAGCGTGCAGCTGCAGCAGATGAGGCAACAGCAACTGCAGCAGCAGCAGCACCAGCAGTCCTTTCAGTATTTTGCCTCCAGGATGGACACTGCTCCGGCATCAGCCATTGTTCCTGAAGGTGAGCCAGTTTTCTGCGCGAATCTTTCATTCTATTCTCACTCATTTTCATCGTGCGGTTTGAAGTCAACGACATTTTTCATCTGGAAGAACAGTTTGTGTCTGAAAAGCCGCAAAAAATACAAAGCGCTGCGCAACCGTTTCTTCTGCTTCAAATTCTCGAGAAAATCCGTGTGCCAGCTAATTTTATAATTACTACATTTTTCGACTTTGTATTATGCGTATAAACCCTGCACTTTTAAAGGAATGAATTTTCCCCATTGTTCCGGTCTCAAAAATCGGAACGCTAACTTGCAAAGCCAATTTTTCGAAAAAATCCGATGGAATCTAGTCTCACTTGGTCATAATACTGTACGTGTAATTTACTGTCTGCAAGGGTTCGGTCATAAAGGTTTTTCACGAATGTGTTTCCTGTTAAATTCTGTGGGACGAATGGACACGGACGTTATATTTCAAGATGATACCTGACCATTACATGAACTTAGTTCAATGCTTTCTTCTCGCAAATCTTGGGTTGAAATCGATAGAAGCCGGATCTTTAACCTCCCGTTGATATTGACAGAATTTCTTCTGAAAATTTTTTTTTCTCCGGTACAAACGAAAACAAAAATCGAACAAAATCTCTCAAGCACTGGAAAATTATCTTTTCTTCGAGGACAGAGCTAATTTTGCTGACAAAATATTAAAAATTCATCAATATGAGTGGTATTTTTTTTATGAATTCCAATATTTCAGGGGATTTAATGTCAAACATTTTTAATTTTGAAAACGTTTTGTGACTGGATTCAAACCCACAAAAAAATCGGAGCTGAAAAAACGTGGAAAAATATTGAACCTTTTTTTTATTATCATGCCGCGGGTGAAATCAGCGGATGATTTCAAATTTCTCGACACAGGCGAAGCTCCAGTGACTCAGCTAGATCCGTCATCTGGACTAGAGATACACAGTTCCAGCTTACTTGACGAGTTCAAGGTATCAGACGCTAACGCAGCCCCCTTCGGCGTCTGGGCATCTGACAAGTTCGACCCTGGCAACACCAACAAGCTCGAAGCCAGCACCGAAAGTGGTCAAGACAGGTATTGACGATATCATTCTCTTTATAATGGCCGAACGCGGAAGAACAAGCATTTGACTTTGATCGGCGGAAGAAGGCAAATTGACGGATTTGTGTCTTTTGTTTGAGGTGCAACCTTTTTTGACACAGTTGTCTAACAAGTAAATATGCAGCTGAAAGAGCATACGTTCTTTTTTATCTTTTTGTGTGATACGCTTGCAGAAGTACACTTAGGCCCCCGAAATGCACACATAATTGGTTTCTGGACCTGTGTCCCTATATTCAAGATGAAAAAAAGGTACTTTCCTGTTATCTCAGTACCTCATTCCTAGACCGCACTACCATCCAGAAAAATCTATAGGACGAGTTCATAATCACGACGACCTACCAGAAACTGAATTTTATTTTTCCGCATTCTGCAGAAACTGATTTTGGGAGGTGGTTAGGTGAAGTTAGGTTAGGTCAAGTTAAATTGGTCAGAGGGAAGGTACAGAGATAACAGGTAAGTAGGTACTGAGATAACAGGGAAGTGCCAAAAAATAACTGTGCAGAAAAAACCACACAGAATCTAATTGTTTGGCATCAGAAGGAGCTCAAAGAGCAAAGAACAAAAACTAGTCGATTGATACTCTGCATGTTGCATGAATGATAGAAATAACTCTAAAAATTAGCACAAAATTAGCATGCTTTTCATTCTGAAACAGGGTAATGTTATATTAATTTTTAAAATTCTTGTGAATGCAAATAGCCTAATTTGGTCATGAGGTATTAACATTTAGAAAAAATTCCAGATTTTCTAGAAATGTTGGAAAACTGCTAAACCTCAAGGCATTGCCTGGATGTCGGGCAGATTTTGGTTGTCGTTTCAAGTGTCCCTAAGTAGAATCGTTTGTATGTAGGGATGTCCGTATTTCGAGAGTCTCTTTGTGAGTATATCAGAATTTGCTGTAAATCCATCAAGGAAGTTTGAAAAAATCAATTGGTTTTAGCTCGAAAATTCTTGAAAAATACTGTAGTTTCTCACCCATCGTTTAGAAATTTCATCCGAAACTCAGATCGACCTCATTATTGTTCAGGCACCCAGGACAAAGAAAATAATTATCAACTCCTTGAATTTCAGATGACTTGGAATACAATGAAATACATTTGTGACTGCATAAGTCTATCAGAAATGAAGCAATTTTTCACTCCGCTGAAAACAAAACTAATTTCCCGTGTGTATCACGAGCTCTCCGGGTATCTCAATGCATTTTTAATCCTCGGAACATCCTTTGCGAGTATTTCAACGATCTCAAAGCTTTCTCCAATCTAAAGGAAGAAAATTAAAGGGGATTTTTCAGATTTCGCAGCTAAAACGTGTATTGAAGGGTGCCAGAAAAATTCTGCATGTCACAAAACAGCGCGTGTCCTCGCCAATTTTTATGGACCTGCGCAAAAATTCCACCGAAGTACGAGAACTGCATTTCTTAGCGTAAAAAATTGTATAAGAATCGAAAGGCTCGATACTGTAATTACAATCATATCGGTTACTTAATTCGAGCACAGACCTCACGTAAAAATGAGATAAAAATAAATAGCGAAAATATTCAGTTTGGAAAATTTCCAGGCGAGGATTTCCCCCATTTTCGCTTCGATTGCCTGCTTTATTTTCAACTCAACACCTTCCAAACTGATTTCCAATGGTACGAAATGAAAAAAAAATTTCCTTTGAAAGCTTTTGCTGCCCTGAATCCTTTTTCCCAAAGCTATTTAAACAAGAAAACGGATCAAACAGCAGCTTTGGGTGCCCTGAGGATATCATATTCCGTATACTGTTGAACTTGCCAAGTGAAACCCATATTTGAGAAACGTTGGGTTCGGGATTTTCCCCTGCAGATTCCTGATCGGGTTGCCGTCGCGACCCAGACCCACGTTCCCGTTCCGGCCGCACGTCCACAACACGAGCTCCGTGGCCTACGTTGACTTCACGTTGGGACTAGCTGACGCGATTCTGCAGGAAATGGGGGTTCCTACAATCAGCCGAGTCATGGAGGAAATGGACTATTCACGAGGTGACCTCATGGTCGACATCAGTCGGGTAAACGATACTGTCTCTTATTTGGACTTTACTGTATATATACAGCTCCCTCGCATCCGGGTGTTATGGCACTACACTCAGGGGGCCCCGAGATGTGGACGTAATTCGTGCTAGAACCGTATTGTCCCTATGTCAAAGCATCCGTATGTCGGATCACAGGATGGTGGAATAACGTCATCGTGAAACCTCTCCTGGAACAAACTTGTAAAAAAAATCTTCCTGCACTTCACAACTGGACCAACCTTGTATACAGCAAAAAATTCCTTAAGTCCCGACATCTTGGGTAATACATAAAGGCAAGGTTACTCCTGACAATGATATTCCGTGATGAGTTTGTCTTGCAACAAGATTATTCCAGGCTGATGAGGTTGGGCCTGACAACGTTATTCCAGCCACCCTGGATCAAATTTTCCCTCTCTGGCTCATCAACAATTAGGAATAAAGTACCCAAAAAATTGGATGAAAATAATTTTCACATCTTCAAAATACAGAAAATAACTGTGCAGAAGAGAACCATAGAGAAGCTAATTTTTTTTTGCATCAAAAGTAGCTGAAGAGGCAATGAGCAAGAGCAAGTCTAGTTACACTGTGCACGCATGATAAAAAAATTATGGAAAAAGAAACGCAAAATTAGTCCGATTTTTGATAAAAATTAGAGTAATTTCATTTTTCTATTTTTATTTTAAATATAAATAGCTTGATTTTTTCAAGAGGTTTCCAAGTTGAAAAATTTTTATAAGCGGGTAATAACGTGCCAGCACCCTCGGTTATACGATTGATTAGATTTAAAAAATATTTTTTACTATAAATAACGATGAAATTAATTTAAAATTTATTACTTATGATAAAAACTAGCCTAATATTTTGAAATAATTATTTACTCTCCCCAAATAATAATTTTTAATTACCTAATATTTTGAGATATAGAAGAAAGGGAAATTTTTCAATTCATCTAGAAAATTTGTAGAAGTGTCCATATCTCGAGACATGTTGCGGATGTCGAGGCAAATTTTTTCTTGAATACCCCCTAGTCGATTCTTTTGTATGTCGGGGACCCACTATATTTTCTTCGTCATCAATAATCTTTGGTTATTGTATAATTATTTATCACTTTCGGTAGAATAACCGCAGTTGAGGTCAATGATTTCAAATTAAACTCTTCAGACGCATCAGCATTCCATGGGTCGAATAGTTTCAAGCAGCGGGACTCCCGAGATTTCGCGGAGGGAAATATCGTACTTATCGTGAACCAGTACTGAAAATCTAGCGTTTTTGTTCATGTCTGATGGGCCTCAAGATACTTTTGCCACTTGATCGCTGGAGGAATATGCAATATACTGCACTTTCCTCCCGTATATATCCCGTGTACGCTTCTGACTCGGGAACAATATTACTCAGTGGGGAGACGTTGAAACGTCCTAGTTTGGCACGTATTTTGTGAATTAGTCCTTCTTCTCCTTTTTTTCTTCTTTTCTCGTAGCAGCCCTTGTGTATAGTTGTGCGTAAACAATAGAACCTCGCCTCGACGTGCACTGCATTCTTGGTGCGGCGAAATGAGCTCCTGGCATTGTGGTCGGGTAATTTCAGGACCTGTGCTACATAATCGAGGTTTGGCTGAGTGCTTAACCATGTTGCGAATCGCCTGGGGCGAAGAAGCAGAGAAACGCATGGCCCATCGGAAGTGTCACTGATGGTCAAGTTTTCAAGTACTGTAAATCAATCTGCTCCTTTGTTCGCATAAACAGAATTTGCCGTTTGTTGACCTTGTGTTATATTGATGCCGAGCGAAGGCAGGGAAATTCGGCGAGACTTGAGGAGCAGTGAATGCCACGAATGAAAACTGTCGTCAACATTGGTATTTTTTCGTTCCCAGGTCAGAAATGTACGCAATTGAAAATAGTATCCTGCACTAGTTCAAATCAGTCACTGCTAGAAAAGCAAAAAGAAGCAGAGTGATTCTACGTGGGACAGAAATTCGCAAATTTTACGATACGTATTTCGCACTGAACAACTTTTAATTTTGCAAGCAAGTTTCATAACCTGTTTGGTGATCAGCAGCCTCATATCAAAATTAAAATAAATCTTTGCCTTAGTTTCTGAAATAATCAGTCTTTCTTAGTGGTACTAAAAAATCGAAAGCAGTTAATTTAAGCTATCAAGAAGAAAATGCAAATTTTTCCACAACAGCGCCAAATTTTCCTTTTCGAATCATCTTACGATAAAACAATCCGCTTACCAATAAATTTCGATGTTCACGTTTGTGAAAAAAATTGGCTGATTCACTGAAAAATTAAAATAGAACGATATATTGTTAATTCAGCAACTTAGTAACACGCCAAGCAGTCTTTACATACGAAGTCCGGGTTTGTCGGGGAATTGCACTGATAAAGACAGCTAGAAAATAAATTCCTGAAATTAGCCTGAATAGCCAAATGGCCACTTTATATTTAGTGATGAAAAATCTAAAAAGGATCCATAGTAGGTGAGAGGTGTTGTGACAATCAACAAAAAATAATGAATTGGATTACTCCAGCGTGTGCACGACTATTTTTTAGCAGATTTATTATTGCATTGAGTTGCAGAACGGAGAGTTTCTTTTTTTCTGTTTTTCT